CTGTGAACACATGTATAGTATTTATGATCAGGACTCTTTGAATATTACAGTGGTTTCCCTCCGTCAGTGCCTCAGATCTCCACCGGTGTCGCCAAACTCCTCCGTCTCCGGGCGCAAACATTCCCGTCACGTGTGTTTATAACTCATAACTGGTGCGTGGGAAGTGGCGTACGGCGCGTTCAGGGCCTGTTCTGTGCGACGCTACAGTTATAAATGTGGGCCGGATGTGGGCCGACACTATGTTGCTGTGTGGGAAGCCATTAGTCTGGTTATTGATTGATTGATTGATTGATTGATTGATTGATTGATCTGCTGGCAGTACTTCGAGCACGTGGAGGAGGCCGAATGGGCCGTCCAGGCTCTGAAGGCGACAGGGAAGCCTGTAGCGGCCACGATGTGTATAGGACCTGAAGGAGACATGCACGGCGTGAGCCCGGGAGAGTGTGCCGTCAGACTGGTCAGAGCAGGTGCGTCTCACAGACACACACGTGTCTTAATGAAGCGCTGTGGCCTGATGTCCTGTGTGTGTTTCAGGCGCTGATATCGTGGGTGTGAACTGCCACTTTGACCCCATGACCTGTGTGAAGACCGTGGCCCTGATGAAGGCGGCCGTGGAGAAAGCCGGACTGAAGGCGCATTATATGGCGCAGCCGCTGGCGTACCACACACCCGACTGCAGCTGCCAGGGCTTCATCGACCTGCCCGAGTTCCCCTTCGGTACACACACACGCACACACACACACACACACACACACACACACACACACACACACACACACACACACACACCCGACTGCAGCTGCCAGGGCTTCATCGACCTGCCCGAGTTCCCCTTCGGTACACACACACACACACACACACACACACCCGACTGCAGCTGCCAGGGCTTCATCGACCTGCCCGAGTTCCCCTTCGGTACACACACACACACACACCCCTGCCGTAATCACTGCCGTAGATCACTCTAAAAAACACTACCTTAAAAATAACACAATTTGGGTTGTTTTCGACCCAAGGGCTGGGTAAATATAGGACAGAACACATGTTGGCTTAATTTAACCCAGCAAATTGGGTTGTTTATTTAACCCAGCATACTGGGTTGATTAATGTTTACTATAGTACTAGCTTTTTTATTTTACTTCATACATGAATTTTTGGGTTGTTACGTCTGACCCAGGATCTGGCTAACACAAAAACTACCCAAACACTGGGTTGTTACGTCTGACCCAGGATCTGGCTAACACAAAAACTACCCAAACACTGGGCTGTTACGTCTGACCCAGGATCTGGCTAACACAAAAACTACCCAAACACTGGGTTGTTACATCTGACCCAGAATCTGGCTAACACAAAAACTACCCAAACTCTGGGTTGTAACGTCTGACCCAGGATCTGGCTAACACAAAGACTACCCAAGCACTGGGTTGTTACGTCTGACCCAGAATCTGGCTAACACAAAAACTACCCAAACACTGGGTTGTAACGTCTGACCCAGGATCTGGCTAACACAAAAACTACCCAAACACTGGGTTGTTACGTCTGACCCAGGAGCTGGCTAACACAAAAACTACCCAAACACTGGGTTGTAACGTCTGACCCAGGATCTGGCTAACACAAAAACTACCCAAACACTGGGTCGTTACGTCTGACCCAGGATCTGGCTAACACAAAAACTACCCAAACACTGGGTTGTTACGTCTGACCCAGGATCTGGCTAACACAAAAACTACCCAAACACTGGGTCGTTACGTCTGACCCAGGATCTGGCTAACACAAAAACTACCCAAACACTGGGTTGTAACGTCTGACCCAGGATCTGGCTAACACAAAAACTACCCAAACACTGGGTTGTAACGTCTGACCCAGGATCTGGCTAACACAAAAACTACCCAAACACTGGGTCGTTACGTCTGACCCAGGATCTGGCTAACACAAAAACTACCCAAACACTGGGTTGTTACGTCTGACCCAGGATCTGGCTAACACAAAAACTACCCAAACACTGGGTTGTAACGTCTGACCCAGGATCTGGCTAACACAAAAACTACCCAAACACTGGGTTGTAACGTCTGACCCAGGATCTGGCTAACACAAAAACTACCCAAACACTGGGTCGTTACGTCTGACCCAGGATCTGGCTAACACAAAAACTACCCAAACACTGGGTTGTTAAGTCTAACCCAGGAAACTACCCAAACACTGGGTTGTTACGTCTGACCCAGGATCTGGCTAACACAAAAACTACCCAAACATTGGGTTGTTACGTCTGACCCAGGATCTGGCTAACACAAAAACTACCCAAACACTGGGTTGTTACGTCTGACCCAGGATCTGGGTAACACAAACAAAAAAAATAACCCCAAAAATGTAACCAAAAGACTCAACCCAGGATTTGGGTAGAAAAAATAACCCAAGATGTTTTATAGTGTGATAAGATGAACCCCAGCTCATCGGTGTGTGTGTGTGTGTGTGTCTCAGCCCTGGAGCCGCGGATCCTGACGCGCTGGGAGATGCAGCAGTACGCCAGGGAGGCCTATAAGGCCGGCATCCGCTTCATCGGCGGCTGCTGCGGGTTCGAGCCGTATCACATCCGCGCCGTAGCCGAGGAGCTCGCGGTCGAGAGAGGAATCCTGCCCGAGGCCTCGGAGAAACACGGCATGTGGGGCGCCGGCCTGGAGATGCACACCAAACCCTGGGTCAGGGCCAGGTGAGAGAGTGTGTGTGTGTGTGTGTGTGAGATTATTGTTTCTGTTTGTGTTGGATTGGAATGCGATATGCAACTGCAATCGCTCATTTCCTGGACTGGGCAAATGTCTATTGTTCATTTATTATGAACTGATTGTTTGTTCTTTACTGTTATTGAGAAGCGTCCATGAGCTTGGGAAAGGCGCTATATAAATTAAAGGTGCAGTGTGTAAGTTTAGCAGCATCTAGTGGTGAGGTTGTGAATTACACCCAACAGAAGTTACGGTGTCCGACAGGAAGTGATGTCGTCGTCTGAGACAGTAACAGTCATAGATATCCATAATAAAGGCTAGACGTCTTACGGCGGAGTCTCTATCGTCATCACCGGCGGCCATCTTGTCACAGGCAAGCGTTCTGGCGGGCTCTGTGGTGCCTGATGTAAGATGAGTGATCAGCACCAACACAAATACTCTTATCTCGCTGAAATCTTGACGGATTTACAAACGGTTTGGTTTCTTACAAACATTATAATTCTGGATGATTATTTATTTATACACTTATTATTCATAACTATGCAGTGTCATAACTACATCTCTGACGTTTATAACGAACCAAACCGTTTGGAAATCGGTAGAAAATTGAGCAAGTTATGGTTATTTAAAAAGTACATGCACCATTAAAACACAATGTTACGAGTGAGCGAGCTGCCTGTGGCAAGATGGCCGCCAGTGCGGACGTCGACCTCCATTGGCCAGCAGCGCGGACGAGACATTTAGCCTTTATTATGGATATCTATGGTAACAGTAGCCAGTTAAACAATGAGGTTTCTTTACACAGATCTATTAGGAAATTATATTTACTTGATTATTCAGTAAAACGGTGTTATTGTGAATATTATTGTGACTTGTTCATCATTGTGTCAGTGTTTTACTCGCTGACTTTAGCAGCTTCTTTACACGCAGAACAACACAGTGGCGAAACGCGTGTGTCCACTCGAGAGAAACGCCTCATTCTAAGCTAATAAACACATAACGCTTCATTATGTAAGGTCTTTATACACCACTGAACAAATAGGTGTGTGTATGATATTGCATTTCTGTCAACAGATCCTCCTAAGTATTACACACTGCACTTTTAAACATATTATTACGGTGATGCCGCTGTGCTCCGCAGGGCCCGCCGTGATTACTGGGAGAAGCTGAAGCCCGCGTCGGGACGCCCGCTGTGCCCGTCCATGTCCTCGCCCGACGGCTGGGGGGTCACCAAAGGTCACGCCGAGCTCATGCAGCAGAGGGAGGCCACGACCCCTGACCAGCTGCGCCCGCTCTTCCAGAAAGCCGACGCCAAATACTGACGGGCTCAGGGGTCAAAGGTTGAGCCGAGAGAAGCCGGTGTCGTTTACCAACCCAACGCCACATGTGACCCTGGACCACACAACCCGTCACAAGGGTCAACTTCTTAAAATTGATCACATGAAAGCTGAATAAATAAGTTTCCTCTGATGTGTGGTTTGTTAGGATATGACAATATTTGATCTGGAAATCTGAAAAAAATCTAAACATTGAGAAAATCGCCTTTAAAGTTGTGCATTTATGTGTGTGATTGTGATGCATTCACTCACTATTCTAAATGTTTTATATATTTACGATTGGAAATTTACAAAATATCTTTATGGAACATGATCTTAATATCCTAATGATTTTTGGCATAAAAGAAAAATGGATAATTTTGTCCCATACGATGTACAGTTGGCACAGAGACACCCGTGCGACTCGAGACTGGGCTGTGATCAGGGTCACGTGTCATGAGTGGGATTGTTTACTTCAGCAGGACCAGACGTTCTGTAGAAACCAAATAAATGTGTGTAAAAGTTGGATGTAGCGTTTGGAGGTGTAATCTCTACTGTCCAGTCTTCAGATGTGCAGAACACTCCAGTCTGACACAGCCTTTCCGATGCTCAATAAACATCACCATGATCTCAACACTCGCTGTCTCACTGCTTTATTAAGTGCTTCTCCTGTGGGGAAAGGCCAGCTTTTAATGTTGTCTATGTGGTGTTTTTAATAAGACACACCATGTGTAAGTTCATAAGTCGACAGCATTGCTGAGTATTTTCTGCTTAAAACTGCAGTGAACCAAAGACAGTCTCAAACACACTGAAATGGCTGGTGTTTCTGACGTCACACACGACCTTGTAAGCAATCAGATCAACGTGTGATCGTCAACCAGTGGATCTCTGAGCTGAGGGAGTGAGTGGAGGCGGGGCTCATTTGCATATTCATAGAGCCGCGAACACTAAATGAGGCGAGGGTGTCGAGTTACATTCAAGATGTTTTAAGCCATGAAGAAAAAAAACTTTTGAATATGTCATTGTGGTGATCAAAGATGAGTTTTAAGAGATAGAATGATTGACTACAGGCGGACTTTAAATATATAAAAGAACTGGAGATTTAATGATTAAACACAATGTGCTTTTCTTACTTGGATAAGAGAGTTTTGTGCACTTACAGTATCATTAATGTGAAAGTGCAGCTCGTGAATCACTTTAACTTTGAACCGTCTGAATATGAACATCCACTAGTAAATGTTTTTCAATCTAATTAATATTTATGGATTTAATAATGCAGCACAAAACCAAAAATTATTAGAAAATATTTCTAATATGATCTCCGAAACTAAAGTGCTAATGCTAATGCTAACTTAATGCTATGTGGATTTTTTGATAACAGAAAATAATTTGAGTGATGTTTGGCGATATTTAAATCCTGAGGTTGAATGCTTTTCATGGTTTAAACCAAATGGGGAGAGCAAATCTAGAATTGATTATTGGATGGTCAGCGACAACATTGTAAAATATGCTGTAAAATCTACCATTTCTAAAGCTCCGCTAACGGGTCACTGTTTCATAGATCTCGTTTTAGAGCCCACAACTAAGCCATTTAGAAACAAAGGTTATTGGAAGTTCAATGCCTTCCTCTTACAAAATGAAGAGATATAGAGATAAATGATTCTTTTGATTCTAATATAAGTAAATGGGAATTTCTAAAAATGTGAGATTTTTCCATTGGTTTCTCTAAGAAACTAATAAAAGAAAAAAGAGAATATGAAAGGAATTTAATTTGTGAAATAAGTCAGTGTTGTAACAAACCTGTTTTAAATGATTATGAAAATGATAAAGTAAATGAGATCATTTGTATGTTGAGAGGGCACAGGTGCTTATATAAGATCGAGAGGAGGGTGAAAGAGCTCTTCATACTTCAGTCATCTAGAAAACAATAGACAGAACTCTGTCAGTAGTGTAATGATCCCAGGAGAGGAATGCTAAGACTCTAAAATAATTGAAAAAGAAGTGTTTCAGTTCTATTCTACATTCCTCAGATTTCTCCTCCTATGAGTCAGATCTTTTTTTGCTCAAATTCAGAACAATATTCCACATATTGAGGACTCTTTCAAAGTTTTATGTAATTCGGATTTTAAAATGGAAGAATTGGATTCAGTTGTTGAGAAGATGGGGGGGGGGGGGAGAGATTTGAGAAATCTATTATTCTGTGCCCTAAAAGAAGCTATTGAAAAAAAGAGTTGATTGAAAGAATAAAGCTAGGTTTGATTACATTGATTCCAAAACATCTGGTAAAGATAAAAGAGTCTTAGACAATCTGAGGCCTATCACTTTGCTTAACATTGATTATAAAATCTTTTCTGGGGCTATCGCTGCTAGGCTGAAAAAGGGTATTTCTACTATAATCAGTGAGACACAATCAGAAGGTCAATTCATAATAATAATATTAGATTGGTTCTAGATTTACTCGATTATAGTGAAGTGGTTCAAGAGAGTGGGTTTCTTATTTTTTTAAAAGATTTTAACAAAGCTTTTGATGCTGTTGAGCATTCTTTCATTTTGAAAACCTTAGATAATTTAGGTTTTGGGGTCAAATGTATATTTATGCTCTAGGGCATGGCTCCTGCTCGAGATGTCCAATTAAAAGAGGGATTCGTCAGGGATGTGGTAGCTCTCCATTATTATTTATAATGGTTGCAGAGTTATTATCGATATTGATTCTCATATAGTCTGGATAACAAAGATTGTGATTTTGTTATTAATTTCTTGTTATGTTTTGGAAAGTTTTTCATACACAAATGCAGATGGTTTAAATCTAAACCCAACTTTAATCACTGGATGAATGAGGTTAAACTCTTGTGCAAATCTTTAAAAGTAGTTAAAAATCAGAAAGCCCTTAAATTGATTTCTCTTTTGGATACGTTTAAATTAATTTAAAAGTCCATTTTTATTTATTTTTGTATTGCTTTTTATTTAATTCTTTGTTTGTTCTAGTCTGTTTTCTGTTTTTGTACTAGCTATGTTCAACATAAGGCTGAACAATTGAGGTTATTTTCAGAGATTTGTTAATGTACCTTGTTTGTTTGTGTTGTTGAATAAAACAAAAACAAAAAAACATAATTCATAATTCCCCAGCGCTTGAGTGGCGCCACCTGGCGGACAGAAACTCTCACTGCTGTCATAAACACCAGTGGAGAAACACCAGAAACACGGAGGAAACTACGGAAGCCCGTTTCCGTTACTCGAGAAACAATAACCCTTCGGAAAATCATAAATATGAGATAAAAAGGCGAAGTTATGAAACTCTACATCGAAATTATGGCATGAAAAGTTGAAATTATGACAAAAAAGAGTAGACATAGAGATAGTATTATGTCATAATGTCGACTTTTTGTTAACATTTTGACTTTTAATCTCACTTACGACTTGGCATGCCATCGACTTTTAATCTCATAATGACTTTTAATGTCATAATTTCTACTTTGTAATGTCATGAATTAAGATTTACCAATAAAACATGATTTGTTTTTCTTGTGTAGCAAAATTGGGCTTCCGTAATAATAATCACACGTTACATGATTAATTATTCATATGTGTAACTGGTCACAGGACACAACTTGCACATGTCATAAATGATTGATCAATAGAGAGAGAGAAAGAGAGAGAGAGAGAGAGAGAGAGAGAGAGAGAGAGAGAGAGAGAGAGAGAGAGAGAGAGAGAGAGAGAGAGAGAGAGAGAGAGAGAGACACACACACACACACACACACAAACTGAATTCTAAATAGTTTATAATATTAAAAATAATGTTGATTGATTGTTCTACTTATTATCTTGTTTTATTGTATGTACATGTACATGTATGTTGATTCTCTGTAAACATTAGAAATGCTTTGCCAACATTGTAACGATCGCCATGCCAGTAAAGCACATTTTAAATGGAATCGAGGGATAAATAAAGCAGTTTCATCGCACTTGTCTTCACATTAGAGTGCGAACTCTACAGTCTTATGTTTTAATCCAGACAACAAAGAAACTACAGCATGACGGACAAAAACATTTGAGCCACGACGACCAGCGTGCGTCTCCTGCGCGTCAGATTGCGTCATCACGCCGCGTGCGTGTCCCACGTGCAGATGTTTACGTCCTCCTCTCGGTGACGTCAGAGCCCAGTCGTCGTCGGATGAGAAACATTCGCGATGTTAAAGATGCGGATTAGCGCACAAAAGGCCTCGCTAACGGCAGGTGACGCGACGCGCGCAGGTGTGCCGCGCGAACGACGCGCGCGTTAACGAACGACAAAAACCGAGGGGAAATTTATACTATTAGCGGATGGTTTGAGTGTGTTTCTCCGCGTCCGTTACTCCGGCCTTTCTTCTCCTCAGTCTCACTCAGTTCCGCTCGGTTCGGGCTTTTCTTTGTTTACTCTGATGTCATTCGCGATGGAGGACGCGCTGGAGTCCGGATGGGTGTCGGTCAAACCCAATGTTTTCGAGGAGAAGGAGAAGCACAAGTTCGTGTTCATCGTCGCCTGGAACGAGATCGAAGGAAAGTTCGCGGTCACGTGCCACGACAGAACCGTGCAGAAGCGGAGCGCGCTTCTCGAGGACGCGGAGCGCGCCCGCGGGCCGGTGGACACGGACCTTGACGCGGAGCTCGACGCGCGCGAGGACTTCAGCTGGGCCGGGCTCTTCTCGTTCCAGGACATGCGTTCCGTTCACCTGCAGCTGTGTTCCGTGAACTCGGACCTGGACCCGTGCCTGCCCGCGTTCCCGGAGGAGCGCTCCGTGTGGACTCACCTGTTCGGCGCGCCGGAGATGCGCGCACGCGACACGGACGCGCTCTGCTTCCAGCTGCAGGTGTATCTGGGTCACGCGCTCGACACCTGCGGGTGGAAGATCCTGTCTCAGGTTCTGTTCCCGGACAGTGATGATTCCGAGGAGTATTACGAGAGTCTGAGCGAGCTGAGGCACAAGGGCTACGAGGACGCGCTTCAGAGAGCCAAGAAACACCTGCAGCAGGTGAGACGCGCGCACGCGGATCTGGTGCACTGTATGATCATACACTAACATATGTGACCCCGCTGGACCACAAAATCAGTCACATGGCTCAATTTTGGGGAAATTGAGAATTATACATCATCTAACAGCTGAATAAATAATCATTCCTCTGATGTGTGGTTTAAGATATGACAATTTTTGGCCGAGATCTGGAAAATCTGAGGGTGCAAAAAAATCTAAACATTGAGAAAATCTTCAAAGTTGTGCATTTATGGTCGCTATTGTGATGCATTCACTCACAATAATAAATGTTTGATATATTTACGGTATGAAACTTACAAAATATCTTTATGGAACATGATCTTTACTTAATATCCTAATGATTTTTGGCATAAAAGAAAAATGGATAATTTTGACCCATACGATGTACAGTTGGCACAGAATACACCCGTGCGACTCGAGACTGGTCTGTGATCAGGGTCACATGATCAGGCGAAACTCGAAAAATTAGAATATTGTGCAAAAGTTAATTTATTTCAGTAATTCAACTTAAAAGGTGAAACTAATATATTATATAGACTCATTACATGCAAAGTGAGATATTTCAAGCCTTTATTTGTTATATTTCTGATGAGATCTGAGAGCGTCTCACTCCTCTATAGGCTTCTAGGTAATTTAATTCCCAGAAAGTTAGTAAAGACATCGTTAAAATAGTCAGTGACTTCAGTGGCTCAGCCTTACGTTATCAAGCGCCGAGAATACTTTCTGTGCGCAAAAACAAACAAATATAACGACTTTATTCAACTCTTCATTTTCTCCTGTGTGTGTTCACGAGACGCATTCGTGAGAACTGAGATGATGACGCAGACGGGTCTCGATGTAGTGTTTAAAATGTGTGTGAGAGTGTGTGTGTGTGAGTCCACTAGAGCCGCGACGCATGAGAACTGAGGGTCTCGATGGTGTGTTTAAAATGGTTCTG